TATTTCTTAATGTGTTGCTAGAGGGTGTTACACACACACACACACACACACACACACACACACATACACACACACATACACACGCATGAACGCATGCATGCACAGTCCATAGAAATTCAGACTTTCACAGGAGTTGGTGACCTTGAGGGCTGAAGGCTTCTGCCATTCCTGCTCATAAATGAATCCTCCCGGGGAGCAGGGCTGGAAAAGTCCCACCTTGGGACGGAGTTTTCCATTGTGAGGAGTCGGCCCTGGCTCCTTATCTCCCCTCCCAGACGTATCCCTGGCAGCAGTCCGAGGGACATCCTCCTTACCAGGCTTCTCTTGAAGAATCCAGACTCTCTGCGTTTCAGGATCTCTGTGTCACCCCCATCAGGACAATACGCAGCGTGTGCTGCCTCCGTTGTGGGCCTGGAAAGGGTCCCGGTTCTGTGTTTCATGTGTGTGGAATTTGAGTCTTGCTCGCCCAGACTTCCTGAAGGCTCAGATGCCCGGTCACTGGATGGCGCTCCGTCATCCTCGTTCCCCAGTGCCTGGGCTGGAAAAGCTGTTGGGGTTCCTCTGGCTGTTAGGATACAGCGTCCGTCCGTCTCTAAGGCAGTCCTTGTGCTCTAGGATTTAGAATGACTGGCCAGGTGACCAGAGAGAGGATCGCCCCAAAATACATGAAGAGAAGAGTGCTTGCTCAGCCGGTGGGAGCGCCACGTCTTCCAAGGGGATGTGTCTCTGGGCATGTCTGTGAGGGAAGCCAGACTGTGTGCTGGAGTCTCTGCAGAGGGTATAGAGCAGAGATTACATGGCGCTTATGTAGCTTCCATTGTATGTTTATAGTAAATGTTTCAAAAGTATAAATGAACCAAGGTGAAGAGGTGGAGGCGAATCCACAGAGCGTCCTGTCGTGTTCTGTCACCATTATTACGGGATGGAGCACCAGCTTTCTCATTTGCTCTTTTTGCTTTTAAAGGATCCATGATGAGCAGATTTTCCTTTAGAAGCTGATTTTCATCTCAGCGGGCGTCAGGTGCTCACAATTTCCCCTAGCAAGTATTCATCTTCCAGCCCTTTCCTGCCCTGAGTTCCGAGACGATGCGTCTTTCGGCAGCTGAATGTTTAACACAGGGCTTGAGAACGGAGCCCAGAAATCTCGAGAAATCTGTTGTGTTTCTGCTGAAACGCGTGCCCCATCCTCTCTTGAGAGGCTCCTGGAGCTGTCTAACTTTTTGGTGCTAATGTTGGAGCCCAGGGCCCCCCAAATGCAAGGCCAATGCCCTCCCACAGCCCGGCTTCTCTGTTAGACGCCCTTCTCTAACGATGCCCTCAGCTACCGCACCGTCCACCCTTACCTGTCCTCTGCATAGGACACAGAGGGAGGCCAGTGAGAAGGAGAGTAGGGGATTGGCCACTCTTGGGGAGCAGATGACAGGGCTCCTCAGAGCCTCACTGGCAGGACTGAGTCTGTTTCCCAGGCTTCCTTCCCTTCCCTGGGAGTGAGGCACAGAGTGACTTACAGTAAGAGTCTGAGGGGACTCTCTGTATCCATGTCAGCCTAGTACCAGAGGAAGCCATTGTCCAGAGTACCCCTGGGGTAGGGTCTACTGGTTGTGTTCCACCCCCAGATTGGCTATGAGTAGTCCGGGCTGAGATCATATTTACCAGGGACTGTTTGACGTGTGTGTGTGTGTGTGTGTGTGTGTGTGTGTGTGTGTGTGTGTGTGTGTAATAATATATGTGTTTTGGGTTGACTCCTCCCTTGGGGAAATGATTTCTGCACTACTGTGTTCCAATGAATACATCTGTCTTTGGCCCGAATCGCCCCTAAAATAGAACAAAGCAAAACCTAACAATGGACAACCCTTGCGTTAACTCCTCCTTGAATCCTGGGCTTGGAGATGTCATCATGCTTCTGTAGACATTGGGAAGAAAAGAGAAACCAGCCAAGCATCTTGTCATGAGGGATGACAAGGGTTCACCTCTCAGAATTGTGTTCACAGCGTTCACCTCTCATCTCAAGACTGGCTTTATATTAGGTCATTTTCCATGTTCATATATGTTTTTCAAGGACGGGTGTGTGGTACAGAGACAACAGGACTGATAGATAGCAAGGTACAGAGCCATCCTAGGTTCCGTCCCTGACATGGCATATTGGCCCCCGAACATGGCTAGAAGTGACTCCTGAGAGAGGGGGAGAGGGAGAGGGAGAGAGAAGGAGAGAGAGAGAGGGAGGGAGGGAGGGAGAGAGGGAGAGGGAGGGAGGGAGGGAGAGAGAGAAGGAAAGTCCCTGCCATAGGACCATCGAGGCAGACTGGGGGAGGGGGTGGAAGGAGGGAAACTGGGGTTATTGGTGATGGGAAATGGATACTGGTGAAGGCTCAGGTGTTAGATTATCATATGACTGAAACCTGATCATGAACAGCTTTGTAACTGTGTATCTCAGAGACTCAATTAAAAAAAATTAAACAAAATAAAAAGAAAAGTGATTCCTGAACACCATGGAATGTGGCCTCCCAAACAGACATTTCCCAAAGTAACCCAGAATATATGTCTTTTTAAGATCACACACAAACTGTATGGGCAGAGTCTTGAGGAGATAGGTCAAATAATAGCGCTGGGCTTTCTGTCTCTGAGTATCCAAGCCAAGACATTAAAACCCCCTAGTAAAATAATATGTTTTCTCAATTAAAGAATGAAGAATCAAGGGGCCAGGGAGCTAGGGCAGGGGTCAGGTGTGCACCTTTTCTGTGACTGACTTGCGGTTCAATCTCTGGCATGTCCTATGATTCCTCAACCCATCAGTTGGAACCCCTGATTGTGGAGTCAGGATTAAGCCCTGAGCACTGCTGGGTGTAGCCCCCAAACAATTTTTTAAAAATTTCAATAAAGGTTTCATATGTATAAAATATACATGTGTCCTCCCGTTGTTCATCAATTTATTCAAGCCAGCCCAGTAACGTCTCCATTTTGAGACTTGTTGTTACTGTATTTGGCATATGGAATACGTCATGGGTAGTTTGATGGACTTTGCCGTGCCGGTGAGATACTCTTGGTAGCTTGCCAGGCTCTCCAAGAGAGGTGGAGGAATCGAACTCGGCTTGGCCAGGCTGGCAGCGTGCAAGACTAACGCCCTACCACTGTGCTATCACATGTGTATTATACATAAATAAACACGAGAGAGAGAAAAGGCTGGGACAGGGTGCAAAGCTGCACATCAGTTACCAAGGGCAGATGCAGGCTAGGAAGGGGTCTTTGTAACTGGCAGTTCTGTTGTGTTGGAAATGATTTGAAAGCAGAGTGAGAGCAACTCTGATGTCTACTGTTGCATGGGAGACACATGGCCCAGGAGTGGAGGCAGGTGTTCAGTGAGACTGACTGTCTCTCCAGAGAATAGGAGAACAAGGCGGGACTGAGGGACCCCAGGAGGGGGCGGACTTTCATCTGTGGAATCTTCTCCATGGCTGCTGTTTGGGGGGGGGGCACGGGTCATACCTGTCTGCTTCCAATGGTGGAGAAATTCACAGCAGGGGGATGAGGACAGAGATATTTCTCAGGGGGCCCAAGAGCTCAGCATCTCTGGGTACCAAACGTGTCTTAGCACTCCTGTGTGCTGGTGCGAAGAGCCCAGATCAAACACCCCAAGACTTTGAAAATGGAGGGGTAGCAACGTTTAATCAGCCCCATCTCACACATTGTTCTGAGATGAAAGGGGGCAACATCCCTCAGAGTGGAGGTGCTGAGAGTTTGGTTTTTCTTTTTTTGCACAGGTTAAGACTTTTTTCCTATTTCCCCTGTCTCTCTCTCCTCCCATACCCCTTCGCCTCCCTCTCTCCTCCTCCTTTCCCCTTCCTCTCCTCCTCCTTTCTCTGCCCCCCACCTCTCTTCCCCATCTCCCCCACTAGAGAGCCAATCGGGGGAGAAGCTCCAACATGCAGAACGCTGGTGGGGGTCTCCTAGAGCCCTGACACAGGGGGGTCCGCTGTGTCCGGCCCCCACTCCCAGTGCCCCCAAGATTTGCCACATGACGCAGGGCAGGATTGGGTCTATTGTGTTCTGCGGGTCCCCTCTCCTGACCACACCTCCTGACGGGTCCAGCTTTCGTGGAGCTGAATTCAAAGCAAGCTTGTTTCTTCCAGAGAACAAGTAATTTCCGGACAATGAGTAACCGAAGGCCCGGATTCCCGCAGGCTCGCACAGGCCCACGCGCGCACAGTGTTTCCTTCTACCAGAAAACAGGCTGCCGGCCCTGGCCCTGCCTGCCTGGGAATCTCAGGGATTCTCCAAGGTCTTCCCTGTCCAGCAGTGAGTCCCCTTATCTTCCCCCGAGCCCCGGGTCCCAATGAGGTCCGGCCACTGATCTGACAGCACCTTTGTCTCCACTCTCATTGATTCGATGTTAAGGCAGATCTTGGGAATGCCCAAGAGTCCACTGATGTTCGCTTCTGATTGATTGTGGCAAGTTAATTCTGGGGTCCCGGAGACTCCAACGGGTATGGGGTAGGCAGGAGCACGTGTGAACATTTGCAAAGAACATGTGAAATTTTGTGATGCGTGAGAAGCAGTAAGCAAAGGCCGGCCAGTCTCCATGAAAGGCAGTTGCCTGTGGAGGCTGTTTACAAGCAAGGAGCCGCACAGCTCTTGGCCCCTCAGCCCCATGTCCCAGTTGGGGGCCAATGCAGGGGGACGGGGCCTCCTTCCCCCTGGCCCCCAGGTGCCCACAGCTGTGTGCAGCCTTGCAAACCCGGCGGCCCCACCTGCGTCCTGCTTGTGTCTCCTGCCACACGGCCACACACCAGGTCACACCTGCCATGGTAGTCCCGGTCCCCAGGCAATTGATGCTTTTTTTTTTTAATTAAAAAAAATTCTCCTGGCTGCATATCATCAAGAAAAACAACATTGTTTTCAGGGTCTCTTATCTCTCCACTCCCAAATATCCTGTTTCTTCGGGCTGGGCAGCCGGGACCAATAGAAGCCTCTTCCTGCCATTGGCTGACTTCATTTCCCAGACTTAGCACAATCTCATCCGCTCTAAACAACCTCATCAAAACTCCTTTCTGGTCAGCGAGAAGCAATAATTATTATTAACATTTATTAGCGATCAATAAACGTGTTGCGTTATGGCCAGCACTATTAAGGTAAGGAAAAGGGGTTCCTTCGCGTTCAACCAAATCTTGGGCTCCTCCGTCTTTTCTTGGGTTTCCTTTATCAAGCAGATAAGTTCGTGTTGGGTAACACCCCCACAGCCACAATAGAGGACAACAAGATTTCCTTTGCACTGCCTAGTAAATTTCCTTTTTCCTACTCCAACCATCCGCAAGGCTTAAAAACTTCAAACTCAGAAAAAAATTGGGGTTTCTAAATTCACGGTGGATGGCCGCGGATGACTCTGGCCCAGGCTTTTTGGAACGCTTCTGAATTTTCTTTCTCTTTGTCCCCTCGAGGGATGCGTCTCTGCTGGAAGGCCACGGACCGACAGACAGGAGAGAGAGGCTGGCGGGGTAGGGCAGAGGATCAGAGGGAAAATGGAAATTGGAAATGGAGATGTTGGGAGGCTCTTGAATAAGTCTCGAGCCTCTGGGATGCCCACTGGCCCCCCGTGGACAGGAAGAGCAGTCCCCGCCGGGCACTGTTTTTTTGGGGGTGCTCAGCTGTTGGCTGTATCTTTCGGAACATTCGTGGTCAGAGCTGGGCATTCTCAGTGGCCACTTGGCCAGTTTGGTTGTGTACTGTCCTTTAATAAAATGCCTAGTCTTCTGTGCGCTGTGAGTACACGTTTGTTGGGTGATGTAGGGTGTGGGGAGTGGGGCTTGGGGGGGCCGCGGCCTCTCTCGGTTCATTCTCTCTGCGGTGTGTGTGTGTGTGTGTGTGTGTGTGTGTGTGTGTGTGTGTGCATGTGTGTGGTCTGAAGCAGGTTTCCCTGCACAGGTTTTGAACAGGTGGTGTGAGAGGTGGCCGTGGTGGTCAGAGCAGAGCTGGGAGACGCTGACCCAGGATAGAAGGCTCCTCACGGCTGTGTGTAGGCCGCAGCTCAGGGCTGGGAGCAGGGCAGTGGCGGCGGGGGTCGGTGAAAATATTGCCGAGGTCACTGGTCCTGGGTGACACGGGGAGAAATGAGAAAAATCAGCAGGAGGAGGCAAAGCTGACGAGAGGGGGACAGTGTGTTTGGAGTGTGGGCTGGCTTTTGTCTCGCTTTGGGAAATTGCAGGTGGGACCCGGCTCCATTTTCGTTAGAGTTTCAGTTGATCTGAAAACTCCCAGAGGGAGGCAGGGGGTCCAGAACTGAGCCGGCTTTTTTCCAGAGGTCCCCCTTCGTTTGGGAATATTTACAATTTGCAATGTCTGTATTTGAGGTTTTGACTGACAGGGTGCTTTAGAAATTCTGCTCAGTTTTACATTCCTTGTGGGTGTTTTGATTCTCTGGACATGTCCAAATACTGTATCTTTTTTAAAAATCATGTACAAAAGCTTTCACTTATAGAGAACTTTTTTTCTTTGCTTGTCTTCAAGGGTGGAGTGTGCTAAAATGTAATTATCATATAAAATAGTTTTGACAACCTACGGATTAAGTTTGATGTGCTTTTATGTCAGTCATAGAACAGAACTTCTTTGATTTTTATACCCCAAATGCTGTCCTTTTTCTTCTCAGACTCATCCTTAATGGCGTCTCTATTTCAGAGCAATTAAATCAAACATTCTTTGTAAATCTTGAAGCGTTTAAGTACAGTCATATCTGAGCGTGAGTGCATGGTTCCATAAATCAGTGTATTGGAGAGTAAGGGAAGAACAGACCACCCTCTAGAATGTGGTCTTTTAGAATTGGCGACCCCTACAAATGTGGTCTACTGTTTCCTTGAGAGTAGACGTTTATGAAGATAGTTTTTGAAAGTGGAATTTTTGAGACTTAGGGGATACACTTAGGGGAGTACTTTCATGAGTGCGGGATACCAGCCTTGTTTCAACATCCTCTGCACTGCCCTAGACTATGTTGCATATATTGCAAGTGAACTTTGAAAATGGCTTCAAGTGTTCCCCCCACTCCCCAATCCTCCGTTAAAATTAAATAGCTCCCCTTTATAGGTAACTTCCTCCAAGACTTGTTTCTGTTCGACTTCCTGGGTAAAGTAATGAGATGATTTTATGGACTTGTTTATAGAGTGGAAAAAGCAGGTCTTGAGTCTGTTGACTAGTTTTAATTATGTTAGCGCAAAGCCCAAATTAGCATAGGGAAAATTCCGGCTGTCCGCTGGAGCCGGGAAACGGTTTCTCATGCAGGCAATTTCCAGTCTTCAACACGTTGGTTTTTGTTGTTTCGGTAAATGAACCAATTAGTCCCTGAAGTATCTGATGAGCTGCATGTCCCAATCTGAGTGTTTGTTTTTTAATCAATATTTACAAGGTCCGCTGAGGTATAAAGAAAAGCTGACTGCTTTTATTGGCCTGTTATTGAACTTCTCATCATCTTTTTTCCTTGGGTGTTTTTGGAATCAGGACCAAAATGTTTCCACTGAAAGAAGCTACATGTTAGGAGCGTTGGGATATTCACATGGATGTAATGATGAGAGCCAAGCAGAACCCCACCGGCCCCTGTATGATGCCCCCTGGCTCGGGTGTGTGTTGGTGCTTCCACCCACTTCAGTGCTCACGGCTAGCGTAAGGGGTGCTTGGGCCCTGCCCGGAGTAACACGGCATCTGCTCAGAGCCACAGAGACTGCCGTCAGCCACGGCCCTTGATTGTTCTTCAGGGGGATTAAAGCAGCTCCTGAACATATGCCTGATCCCTCTTAATGCCACAGCTCCTGGGAAGGCTAATGAAGCTAATAATCCCCCCTCTGAGGAATGCTTTTAAATGCCTTCAGCGCAGCCCATGGAACTCTGAGGAAGCTATGTCTATTAAAAAAGAAATGCAGGTCCAGCTTCCAGCCCTTGGGTGGTCCCAGTGTCCACCTTCCAGCCCTCCCCTCCAAGTGCTGCAGCTTAAACAGCCTTTTAAAATGGGGTCCTGCGGGGGAGGGGAGGTCCCTTTAGACAGAGACCTGACAGGGATCCACAGGGGAGCATCTAGGGTGGAAAGAGTCTGAGCAGACAGGATGTGGGGAGTTAAGGAGCAGAGGAGTCTAGCAGTTAAGGTTTCAGTGTGTTGTTTAGTGAAGTCACTTTCTTTGACTTCACCTGGGGTGGGAGGGTCGGCGGGTGCTGGAAGGGCAGAATGCACATTTCCAGGATGGCTGCTTGCTGTCTTCTGCCTCCTGAGGAGCTGAGGGGTTACTGGTTATGGGTACCCACCCGTTACTGGTTATGGGAGGTGGGGGTGGTTAGGAGGAATGATTCGGGAAATGAAGGCTGTTAGGACACAAGAGAATTCAGTGCTTCTGGTGGGGGGTGGAGTGTCCTCGAGTCAAATAAGCTTGGATAGGTCTGGTTATCAGTCCCCCACAGCCTCAGTCAGGAAGTGAGGTTTCTTTCATGGTTATTTGGGGAGGTTTCACAGGGGAGGGGTATGGATGTGAAGTGTTCTCTCCCGAGGACCAGTATTGGTTCACTTGCTACGTGAGCTTGCAGGGAGCTGAGGCTGGTGCCAATGCCGTGGGGGGCACGTCTGCCCAATGTGTCTCTGGGCTGTGTGTACCCTCTGGCCCACTGGCTCCCTCCCCCAGGAAGGAAAGATGAGGCCTGGGTTGGGGGGGTGCATTTCCCCCAGAAAACATGTATATGGGACTGCTGAGCTCTTGGGAAATGTTTGCTAATTCACAACCACTTCCGGATCCTCTCTATATTCTTTAAAGTGAATCTCTCTCTCTTTTTTTCAACAGATTTTTTTTTAATTTGAGAAAATATGCCCCTTCTCCCAAACACATATATGCATCGTTTCAAAAGTCTTTTTGGAAAGATAGATAAAAATGAAATAATAGAAGCAGTATTGTGACGGCCTTCAGGAGGATGATCCGTCTGCATTAGTTAGTGGCTCCTCCGTATGAGTTCTCGGTGGGAGCAGAAGCAGGGGTACCCCTGTAGCCTGGAAGAGAAACCGGTCCAGCTGGCGTCTCTCATCATGAGACTCTGGGAAGAGCCCGGAGGGGTCCTCTTGCTGATATCCGCTGCAGTGTGGCAGCACCAGCAGTCGGCTCTGCAGGCAGGATCTGCCTTAGTGGTAAGGGCCTGCCTCAGGCCCCAGTTCCCGACTTTGGTTCCTATGACAGGGAGTTCACTGATCTGAAACGGGCTGATACAGACCAGCCTGTCTTGTGGGAGGTGAGATGCCAGGGACGTGCGTGCATGCAGGACGTGGTGGACGCTGGCTGGCCATCCAAGTCTGTTTCACCTCTCCCGGTCAAGGGCACTGTCCCAGAGACTTACTCTGACCACTCTCTCTTCCCCTTTCTCTCCTCCCTGCTTCCCTCCCAGCGTGAACATGCAGATGCCATTCTGTTCTGATGTTTCCATGGGACAAACACTCGCAGAAGCCATTCTGCACGGCCCTGCCTGCCTTCACCTCTCGCGGGCAGGGCAGGTCATGCCTGGGTCAGGGGTCAGTGACATAGAAGGTGATGGCAAGAGATGTGATGGCAAGGCTGCTAGGGGACTTTGGAGAAAGGTGCTGGAGGCTGGGGACACGACACCTGGGCAGGCAGAGAGTCCGGGGGGCCGTGTGTGAGGCTGGTGAGAGGCAGAAGTTCGGCCAGCTCAAGGGCACAGGATGACCTCGCCAAGGTCACAGGGATATTCAGGGCTGTTTGGAGGACGAGGTCGTTGGCTTTGGCACAGAGCTGCACAGGAAGCAGAGCCCTGGGGTGCATTTTGTCCCTAAGTGGAGCAGGAAGAGGGTTATCCAGACTGTTGTATTTGCGCCGTGTTTTCAACTTTGTAAGAGGCGGGTACAATGCTCAAATTCAAGGCGCATATACCCAAAACACGGTCATCCTATATAACGATAAAGAAATAAAATAAAGCAAACGAAAGGAAGATGGTTGCAAAGCAAATAGGATCGCTCCATATCCAACCAGCCAGAGAAAATGACTAGCATTTGGCACATGTCTTTCTTAATTTGATTCAGTCTCCTCTTTCTACCTATGTGCCCTGATTTTCTGATTTTTCAGCATTGCTTCTCAGAGGTTTGCCCCACGCCACTAAATTTTTG